CTACTGTACAAAAAATGCTAAAGTGAATCTTTTAAGTTGAAATAAAAGGATGGTAGAGAGCAACACAAAGCCTTATAAAAATATAATGTTCTCCAGTAAAAGTAAATATGTAAACAAACGAAGTGACTTCTACTGTTGCAGATGTGGTTCTTAGAATTTAAATGTGAAAAATATGAAAAGTAACTTTAAATCTGTGTTCATTGCTATACAATATATAAATATGTAATTTGTTGCAACAGTTATGTAAAGTGAGGAGTAGAGCTACAAAGGAGTGGAGTTTTCATATGTGATTGAAGTTATCAGTTTAAAATAAAATGCTATAACTTTAAAATGTTTTATGTAAGGCCATGCATGGTGGCTCATGCCTGTAATTCCAGCACTTCGGGAGGTTGAGGTGGGCGGATCACCTGAGATCAAGAGTTCAAGACCAGCTAGCTAACATGGTGAAACCCAGTTTCTACTAATAATACAAAAAATTAGCCAAGTGCGGTGGTGCACACCTGTAAACCCAGCTACTCAGAAGGCTGAGGCAAGAGAATAGCTTCAACCTGGGAGGCAGAGGTTCCAGTGAGCCGAGATCGCACCAGTGAACTCCAGCTTAGGCAACAAAAGTGAAACTCCATCTCCAAAAAAAAAAAAAAAGTTTTATGTAATTCCAGTGATAACTGAAAAGAAAATAGTTTTAGAACATACGCAAAAGGAAATGAGATGATAATCAATGCATATATGTGCAAAAACAACAACAACAAAACACAAAAAACTTCAGTAAAAGAGGGAAAGAACAAAGAAGCTAAAAGACATACGGAAAAAAAATGACAATAGTAAGTCCTTCTCCATTAGTAATTAGTTAAAAGGTAAATGAATTAAATTACCTCATTGAAAGACTTTAATTGACTGAATGGATTAAAAAGAACAGTATCCAAATATATGCAATCTTTAAGAGACTCACTTTTGATCTAAGGACACACATAAGCTAAAAGTAAGAGGATAAAAAAAGATATGCCATGCAATTGGTAACCAAAAGAGAGAGCAGGAGTTGCTATAAAAATATCAGGAAAAACAGGCTTTAAATTAAAATAAAAAAACTTACAAGAGATAAAGAAGAATATTATATGACGAAAAAGGGGTCAATTCACCAAGAAGATATAACAATTATAAGTATTTGTGCAGCAAACCTCAGAGCTCCTAAATATACAAAGCAAACTTTAACAGAATTGAAGGGGACAGACAGCAACACAGTATTAGTAGGAGACTTCAATTCTCCACTTTCAATAATGAATGCAATGAGACAGAAGATGAAAAGGAACACAGACAACTTGAACAAGAGTACAGACCAACAGCACCTGACAGACACATAGAGAACACCTGACAAAAGCAGAAAATATACGTTCTTCTCAAGTACACATGGTACATTCTCCAAGAGAGACCACAGGTTGGGCAAAACAAACCTCAACAAATTAAAGATTTAAATCACACAAAGTATCTTATCCTGATTGCAACAGAAAACAACTAGAAATCAATGGTACAAGGAAAATTGGAAAATTCACAGATATGTGGAAAGTAAACAACACAACTTTGAATAGCCAATGAGTCAAAGAAGAAGTCACAAAGGAAATTAGAAAATATCTTAAGACAAATGAATATAAAAACACAAGATATCAAAATTTATGAGATATAGCAAAAGCACTCTTAAGAGGGAAGTTTATAGCTGTAAATACATATATTAAAAAAGTGAAAAGATCTCCTCTGACTTAACCATTACCTAGTCTATGCATATGATAAAATATGAAAAATATGACCTATACCATATGTACACATATTTCTATCAATAAAACATTTTTTTAAAAGCTAAAAGATCTCACACTACAACCTAACTTTATACCTCAAGAAACTCGAAAAAGAAAAACAAACGAATAGGGAAAAAAGGGAAATCCTGACAGGTTCAAGAAAGAAAAAATGGCTGCATGAAAAAAATGTGACTAATAAAAATTGTTGAAACTTCTCAGCAGCAACTTTGATTACGGGGCAATACCTTACCAATTCGGAGGAAAAATGGTTCAACTTAGAGTTCCATCCCAAGTTAAGCCATAAATGACCTAGAATTATAAATTTTTTAAACTTAAAAGTCCTTGAGCAATTTTGGGAGAAAAATGGAGACTTAGAAACAAAATGATGAAATGTGGGATTTAAGAAATCATGGATCAAATCACTTAGAAATATGAAAAATATCAGGCCCCCAGGTGTGCTTCCAATTTAAGGACCTGCTAGTTCAGATGGGATGTCATAGATGGTTGGTTGTAACTGAGCATTTGGGAAAGTCATTCATGTGTTGCAAAATCTGTGTGGTCAACTGGAGAAAAAAGTAGCAATAGATAAATAGAAAACAAAGACAATGAATAAAAACAAAATGGCCATTATTAACTTGGTTTTGAAAAAAGAAACATATATCACTCTATGGCTCATCAGTGATCCATTTTGACAAAGTTTCAATAATGTAGACCTGGACTTCTCATTTAACCAAAAATTGTGATAACACTATAATGCAGACAAGAAGGAATAGTAGGTAGGAAGTACAATTCTCCAAAAATAAAAAGTCAAGATAATATATTAAATTGGTAAATCAAACAAGAATAGCATAATCATGTTATTTAAGGGATGAAATAAATATCGGAAGAACCAACTAAAAGAATTGAGCAACTGCATCGAGTTGGCTACAGATGGAAAACAAAAATCACTGTTTTGTACTGCATATATTTTAGTAATATTTGGTTTTTTTAAAAAGTGTACAAATATTTTGATGGATAAAAAAAACTAACTACTCCCAGCTCCACTAAACACACACTGTCAGACATTAGTCATGAAGTTGACTTAAAAATTCCGAGTTCCTGGCTGGCAGCTTAAATAAGTCCATCGAGTGTAAATAGTAACAGTATGTTGGTTGCAGCATGGACCTCAACTGTGATGATTTTTATGTATGGTTAAAAATGGAACCTGAGAGGTGCCAACATCAGCCAACTTGTCTTTTGAAAGTAACTTTTTTATCGAGCTCTTGAGATTAAAAATGAAAAAGCCTATAAAATTATCTCTCAGTCTGATTTATAGACAATGGTTTATCAAACATTCATCAATGTTAGTATCATGTTATGGAAAAACTCCTCATGCTTTCCTGATAAAGTCATCACCATGTTAGTGAGCTGCCACACAATGTGTAATTGTGGAAAATACAGATTCTGGGCCTCTCCAGGAACGGGAGCAGTTTAGAATCCAATGATATCCCACGGCAAAGAATACTGAAATAAAGAAGAAGGCATTTTCAACTCGCCTATGAGGATTAGCAATACTAGAATATGAGGGACAAAGGCAGTTTTTAAACCAAAAGGAAATTCACTTGTAAACAAGCTAGTTCGTAACTAGTTCATAACTAGTCTACCACATCCTGTTCGAATACTGTTAGCAATAGGAAAGGTCCACGATAATGTCAAAAAAATAAAAAGGGCAATGATTGACCACTATGAATTATTTAAAGAAATGTATTTAAAATGAACTTGAGATAACACAGAGGGTGTTAGTTAAGAGTTGTGATGAATTTTTATAATCCATGGTCATAGGAATCCCATAGTTACTATCATAAATAGTAACTTAAATTCTGCCTCTGGCTTCTGATATAGACAGAGAGATACAGATATATAATTTTTTTTGTCATTGCTGTTGTTTGATTTTCCCCTAAATTAATCAAAAGTAGCTCAGCTACACTCATTGCAACACTAGGAACTACTAATATCTAGTGGCAGCAAAACAAAGTTGAGGTAAATTTACTGTCAAAGACAATCTTAAAACTTAAATAATAACCATAGAAACTATTAATTGTGATGAGCTTAAATAACAATCATTCTACAACTCAAGTGAACTCTCAATTTTAATGAAAAGTTCAATTAAAACCTCTCTAAAACCAAGTGGGTCTGGACAAATATATTCACATATAATGAGTCTTTAAAAGGACTCACTAATTTCAAGCACTAGTTGTATTTTCTCTCTTAATATGTTTTCATTTGGAACTCCAAACAACATTTTTTTTAAAAAAGGTCCTGAGCTTAAAGAGAGGGTTAGCAGAAAGTAACAAATCAAGTCCTAAAATAATAGTTAACATTAGGGGTTTGGGATGCATGAACTCATTTAATCCTCACAACAATGTCATGAGGCCAGTTCTATGATTCCCCTCATTTTATAGCAGAGGAAACTAAAGTGCAACCATACAAAGTAACTCATCTCAATGTGATACTTCCTTCTCATGCGCTTTCTGCTGCTAAGACAGGAGACAAAGGTTTCGCCTTACACAGTCGTGTTCACATCCATAGCTCTTCTGGATTCTTCCCTCAGTCTTTAATAATGAATCTACCCTGCCTCAGTGACCTGGCAGTTCATGGGTATTTGCTGGTGCTTTTATCTGCCTGTTTGTGTAGCCTCACTCTGTATCTGATTCAGGACTGAAGCCAGGGGATTTATTTACAAAAGAATATTAGGGCAGGCTTACACTCTGGAGCCAGCCTCACCTAGACTGGGCTGCCAGTTCTGCTTTGACCAGATTCTTAAGAATACAAAATAAGAAAAATCCATTTACCAGATTATTTAAAGTGGTAACTAACTTATGCTTTCACAAACAGTTGTAACTAAATTCATACTATGTAATGTTTCCATAAGGAGCAAACCCACTTGTAGTACCATAGAGGTGTAGGGAACCTTAGATATTGGTCAGTGTCTTCATTTTCTGGATGAAGAATCTGAAGCTCAAGGAAGTTATATGATTTGCCTAAGATCTTAATGCTCCTTTGTGGCAGATTCATAACTCAAACCTAGGTCTCTAATCTCCCATGCAAGTGTTCTCTCTCTCTTTTTTTTTTTTTTTTACTTTTAAGAAAGAGCTTAACTGATTATGTTAAAATTTGAAACTAATAAATCATCTAAATGATTGATAACACTGAAGTTAAACACAATGATCTTACCTGTAAGAACCGTACATCACTTTCTGGCAGTCAACTAACAAAAATTTCTGTTCCATTTTTCCATGGAATTTTGCCCCCGTTTTTGAAAGATAATCTTGGCCTTTTACTGTTCGCACTCGAATATTCTAGAATTATATATAAATAAAAAGCAGACATTATGGGTAGGAAAAGAATATTTTGAAAACTAAAACCCATGATATAATCTTAATATAAAAAAATTACTTCAGGTAATTTTTTAAAAAACTCCCAAATATTAAATCCTTAAGGAAAATAATCATTTAAAATATACGTTTCAACACAGCTTAAATAGGAGACTTCACTTTACATTTACACAGAATGGCATCAAAAATCACTCAGGCTCTGAGTATAAAAAACCTTTTTGGGTTATAATGCCTTGATCATAAATTAACTAAAATAAAAATTAACCTTTCTTTTAAAAAGTTAAAAGTAATAGAAAATACTACGCAAAATGATTCTGATAAGCAATACATGCTGAAACATAGACGCTTGTGAGTCACTGGTTTCAAAGCCGTGCATGCAAAACTGATGTATTAAATATTAATCAGTAAAAGCACAATATAAAACCCTCATGAAGGCCGGGCACGGCACTCATGCCTGTAATCCCAGCACTTTGAGAGGCCAAGGTGGGTGGATCACGAGGGTCAGGAGTTCAAGACCAGCCTGGCCAAGATGGTGAAACCCCATCTCTACTAAAAATACAAAAAAAATTTAGCCGGGCATGGTGGTGGGCACCTGTAATTCCAGCTACTCGAGAGGCTGAGGCAGGAGAATTGCTTGACCCAGGAGGTGGAGGTAGCAGTGAGCTAAGATTGCACCACTGCACTCCAGTCTGGGAGGCAGAGCAAGACTCCTTCTCAAAACAAATAAACAAACAAACACACACTCTCATGAAGATGTGCTTTCAGTCACATTCTAAAAAGTACAGGGACCTTTCTGTGATCAGTCATTCCTTAACCTTAAATATGTATACTTTTTTTTCTTTTTAACTTTTATATTCATCTACCTTAATATGCCTTACATTTGACTGAGTTGAAAATGACACACAAATTACTTGAGAAAAAAACACAGAATTCTTACCCTGAGACGCTGAACTGAACAACCTTGTTTCTCAGTCATATTTAGAAAATGATTAAAATTGGACTCATCAAGCAGAATGTAAACAGATACTCCTCGAGTTGATGCCTCAACTATTTCTTTGAAAATGTCCACATCTGTAAATATATCCATCACTAAAGCAATGACCTGTTAAAGAAAAGAATATGAAACAATGTTAGATCCTTGATAGAGAAAGATTAAGAAACTGCTTATTTTCAGTAAAGGTCAGAAAAAATTTTAAAAAATTAAATGCATAAATGTACAGATGTATAATATATATGTATATACAAATATTCATTTCATTTTCTAAAATGGAAGATAAAACCATATTAAAATAAGCAAATAACTATATGCAGATTTGTAACACTAAGTCATTTTCATATTAGCTTTAATTTAAAGGAAATCTGCATTTCAGTAAGATTTTGAAAAATGGGGGAATCCAAATCATGGATTTCAAGACTGCCCATAAGGTAGACAAACAGGACAAGGTGGAAACCAGTGTTACTATTTTTCTAAGAGACATTTCCAGGGGAAAGTAGGATTTTTTGAATAGTTGTTAAGAATAAAGGTCTTAGGGGAAGTGAGACAGAGAAAAAACTATTCTAGAAATAGAAATATACCTAGGAAAGGATGAAAGATGGAGAAAGAGTATAAGATGATTTGAAGACCAAAAAATTAAATATACAGTTGTTCTTCAGTTTACTGGGGGAATGGTTCTAGGACCTCTGCATATACCAAAATCTGCACATACTCAAGTAGACAATCAACCCTGAAGAACCCATGTATATGGAAAGCAGGACCTCCATATATGCAAGTTTCATGCCCCTTAAATACTGGGTTATTTTATCCATGTTTAGTTGAAAAAAATCTGCAATAAGTGGATTGAAGCAGTTCACACCCATGCTGTTTAAGGGCCAAATGAACTTGCCTAAAATTGTTTAACAGATAATATAAGCAAAAGAAAAAAAGTGAATTAAAAAGGTGATATAATTGAGAAGGAAAATGCCCTAAAGAACAGGTCCCTAAGATGTAGAGTCTGTGTTGATTGTTGGAATGAAAGTAAAATAATGCTAGAAGAAGGGGAAAAATCATTTAAGTGGTTGTCCACCTTCCATGTGCCAGGCATATTTATTGAGCACCTACTATGGGCCATGCAAGAAGAACAAAATCCTGCCCTCATGAACCTTACATTTTACTGGGGGAAGACATAAAAAGTAATAAAGATAATACATAAGTCAATTATGTAAAAAGCTATAGGTTTTTTGGGGAAAAAAAAATAGAGCAGAATAGGGGATCATGGGTTCCTGGAAATTCAGGAGGAGTTTGAGGGTTTCAGGGAAGGTCTCTTTGAGAGAGTGTCCTTTGAATAGAATTTAAAGGAAATGACATTTTCCACATTGATATCTTCAGGAAGACTGTTGTAGGCAGAGGAAACCAGCAACTCTGCTCTGGCAATCCAAAAAACAGAAAGGAGATAGCAGGAATGAAATGAGAATGGGAGAGTTATCACAATGTCTTAAAGGCATTAAAAGCCCTTTTTTTTTTTTTTTTCCTGAATAAGACTGCAAGCTATTAAAGGACTTTGAGTTGAAGTAATAAAATGATCTGGTTATGTTTTGAAAGGATTGTTCTGGCCACTGTGTTAAGAACAGGCTTTAATAAAAGTTAGCAAGGATGGAAAACAGGGAGGCCAGTTAGAACTATTGGGGCAACGGAAGTGGGAGGTGATAGTGTGTAGGACCAGGACGGTAGAGTCAGGGATGAAAAGAGATGGTCAGATACTGGATATCTTTGAGTCTAAAGGTCTTGTGGATGGATTGATTATAAGGTATGAGAGAAAAGGGAGAAAAAGTGAGGAAGACCAAGGATCGAACCCTGGGACACTCCAAGTTAAGAAGTCTAATACCAGAAAAATTCCCAGCAAAGCAGATTGAGGAAACAAAGGGCAGGTGGAATCCTGAACACCAATAAAGACAGTGCATTTGTAAGAAGGAAGGTGAACTTGAGAGGTTCCAATCCTACAGCTAGGCCAAGAATAGTTTTAGTGGAGATGGAACAGCAAGAGCCTCAGTGGAAGGCATTTAAGAGAGAATTGGGGCAGACACTAGACATAGAAGATACAGAAAACCACTTTTGTCTAATTTGGCTACAGTAGGAAGCAAAGAAATTGAGCAGTAGGTGGAGGTAGAGCTGAATCAAAAGAAGTTGTACTTTTTATTTTTTAATTGACATAAAATTGCATATAATCATCATGTACAACATGATGTTAAGATAGAGATTCAATCTAGGTGTCTATCAACAGATGCACAAAGAAAATGTGGTGTGTGTGTGGGGGGGGGTACAAATGAATACTATTCGGCCATAAAAAGAATGCAATTATCCTATTTGTTACAATGAACGAACCTGGAGGGCATTATTTTAAGTGAAATAAGGCAGACACAGAAAGACAAATACTGCGTGATCTCACTCATATGTAGAATCTAAAAATATTCTAAGGTGAGAGAAATAACAGTATGTCTTTATGCTAATGAAATGCTACAGTAAAGAGTAAAATTAATAGTGCAAGAGAAGGTGGGAGGTGAGGTGGAGAAGGGGAGAATTTCTGGAACAATGTCTTTTAGTAGACAATAAGGTATACAGTCTAGTGCAAAAGTAAATAAAATAAAATAAAGTGAAATGAAATAAAATAAAATAAAACTATAGCACAAAGAGTAAAGACCAGTAACTGATCATCTGTTATATGAAGACAGAGGGCCAAGTATAAAGGTGCAGATGCTCGTGGGGGAGACAGTGTGGCAGTGGTGCTGTAGATGTTCTCTTCTGAGTTCTTTGATTTTCTCAGTGTAGTGGGAAGCAAGGTCTTCCACTTTGAAGATTCTAGAAGACATTTTAAAGATCTGAGGAAAAGGTTACTATGTAGTCATCTAGGAGAGTACAAAATAAAATACACTAAGAAAATATAATATGGTTGCTGGTTAGCTTTAGGGCTCACCAGGTCATAAATTTAATATGGGACCAGTCAATGTGGTTGTAAGTTATTCTTCAACCCTGTTTGGTGGCAAGGCTATAGAAATGGAGTAGGCAGAGTTTGATTTAGCCATGGCTGTGGTTCTGCCATGAGTGTATAACAAATTAAAGGAGGGCAAGGAGACTGAAGGTGTATATAATATGGAGTGGCTGAAATGATTGATCATGGGCTTTAAGTTTGATATAGAAAGGAGAAAAGATGTCATGAATGTGAGAGGCAGTGAAATGAGGGTAGGATGAATGAATTTTAGATCCTGCTGGCATTAAATAACATTAGATATTAAAGGATTATTGTTAAAGATTGAATATATATCTTATCTTTAAAATATACATGTTAATATAGTTATAGATGAAAGCATCATGCCTTATATTTACTTCCCGTTATAATTGATGAAAAACATGGCCATGAATGATAATTGTTGAAGCTAGTTGATTGTACACAAGGGCTCCATATACTATTCTTCCTACTTTCAAAACTATTACTAGTATACTCCATATACTATCCTTCCTACTTTCAAAACTTTTTATAACATAAAGTTTAAAATATTGAAAAGACAAGAATATATTTTACTAGCAGTTACTAGAGATGATAAGCCAAAAATAGAAGTAGAGGTGGTAGTCAGATAAATAGTGTTGAAAAGAGTGACACAGACCAGAAAACAAAAATTGTAAAGAAATGAGGGGGAATGGAATGACCTAAAAATAGGCGCATGGCAATATACAGCATAATGTAATGGATACACTGTGAATACGTTAGAAGATGAGCAAAGTTATGGATAATATATGAAATAATTTTTATTTACTCTAATTAGAGTGTTTAAACAAAATTCTGGACCATGCTCAAATTTTATCAGTGATGACATTCTTCAAACTACCTGTGAAACATACTCCAATCAGATTTTCTCTAGAAAGAACAATTTCAATCATTCCAGTAGCTTTTCACAATCTTTTTCTTGTTTGTAAATGGTATGAGGAACCAGATGAAGGAAGAAACTAGTGATAACAATCTCATCCATGTTTGAGAATATTTTTCATAATGTCAAATATACAAAAAGTCTTAAAATTGTACCCCAAATTATTAATTTAATGCATTAGCTATGCATTAAGGAGGGGTGTAATGATATATAGGCATTAAGATTTTTTTTAAGTCCATATTATACATTTATTTTACAAAATAACTTTCAAAAACATATGTCTGGTGCAGTCTGGTACTAATTTTTTTAACCAGAATTTTTTGAATACAGAAACAGTATTGTACAACATGGTATTCTTTAATTAGCATATCTAAAAATTTATTTTTAATTTGCCAGATAGTCTCATGTAACACATTACTTTAGACTTTGGAAGCGAACAAAAACACATTACTAGGATACATAAAGGGTTTTGTTTGCAAAAAGTAATTGAAGTCACTCAGCCAATGGATGTTTCTGTCACACTAACGGCAGAACAAATGACAGTCTTTCTTGCATGACAAATAATACGCTGGATCAGGATCCAGGAGACTAGATTACCCATCTCTGACAAGCTTATCTGATGTCAACGAAGCCAGGTTGCTTTTCAGGGCTTCTGTTTCTTCGTACTCTCACTTGATGTGTGGAAAAATTACATGAAATCTACAGTAACTTTTAGCTAAGCTGCAAAAGGCAAAATAAAACGTAACTTTTTTTAAAAAAATGATGGGTTACATTCCTGGGAAAGAATAATAATTAGAAATGAGGTATGCCAAATCTGATCTGAAATTATTACATGCTTGGTTAGTTATCAAAATTACACTGTGTTGCACACATGGCCATATGGCTACATGTAATTGAAGAAAAGTTATATGCCTGATTAGTATTAGGCTTTTCAAAAGGTACATCAATCGATTATATTAATACAGAAACCGGTCCTATTAATTGGTATTCATTAAAATACCATGACATTATATAGTTCTTAAATTATTTACTTGCTTCTTCATTAATTCTTGCCATGAATTCACAATTCTTGCATTATAATTTGAAAAGGTAAATAAATAAATGCATTCATCAGAAACATGAGACTTAGAAAACTTTTAGAATGCTATCCCAGGACATTTTTAAGATCTGAGTAAAACTTCACATCTTTTCGTATTAAAGGTTTCC